AGGTGCAGCAGAAAAAAATGCCAATCTGCAGCTCCTAGAGCATTATTCCAGGAATGGTATTCTAGCACAGCTCTTTGGTGCAGCAGAGTCTATAGCCCTTGTCTCTAATCTCCTCCTTATTAATTGGTTATATGCATATTTCAAGTAACATGTGTCGCTGTAGGTGGTAGCTTCCTTAGCTATTAGGCACTCATTCTGCGAAATTCATCGCCTGCTGACTTCTGGAACACCTCCTTCTTGGGTCTTCGAACACTTTAAGCTGGAGGTATTTATTCTGAACAGTGATTACATTTTCATTTGGTTAAAAGAGACTTAGAAACATTGTCTAGATTCTGTGCCAGTTCTACAGAGTCTTTGTAACCTTAATTTCTCAGCTTTCTAAATGAAGACATCTATCTACTTCATCAGGATGTTATACAGCTACATTTCTATATGATTCTAAGAGCTTTCAGATCTTCAAACAGGCATTATAGAAATGCTGACTATTAGTCATGCCTCTGCTTCTCCCCCTTCCTCTGAGGATCGGCATAGACAGAGAAAGCACTGTGAGAGAATAGGGCATTCTACAGTACAAGTGATTCTGTTCCTGGCTGATGATTTTTTGGGCGGCAACAAGACGACTGGTGTCCTTTTAGGCACAAATGTGAGAAGTATAATCTATTATTTTAAGTGACATGACACCTGCAGAGCAGAGGTGATATCCTGAAACTGAGCCTGATAACTCCTGGGATTCTTGTCTCTTGTTTGAAATAATTAATATTGTACTATTAGAGTCTTTTTTTCTTTTTCCCCGAAAAGTATTTTTTAAGGAAAAGTAAATTCAACTAAGTCATAGAATGAAACCTGAACTGGGACCATTAATAGCTCTGTGTACCACCCTATCTGGCAATCTCTTACAGGGCACTAAGCCGAGACCCTTGCTCCTCCCCCATGCATTTCCAAACTCTGCCAAGGTTGAGAATTCCCACTGAGCATAGGACTGTGTTCACACCAACACAGCCATGCACAATGGTGCCTGAGACCACTAATAATAGCTCTCTTTAAATCCTGCACGGATGAAGTAAGTACATCCAGTTTACTTTTATATTTTTAAAGAGAGTAACACATGCATATGCTGCAGAGTCAACAGTTACTGCCAGCTCACAGAGGATATTGATACATTCAGCTTTTGCTTCCAAGGACACTATTGTGGATGTCTCTCTTCATGTGTCCTCTGGTAACACCAAGAAGAATTGTGGTTCCACAGCAGATGACCCTCTGTGGAGGGCACAGTAGGTTAATTAAGTTATTAACAGTAATCATCATCCTTCTCTTGCTGTGCTATGTAGAGCTACATGTAAGTTTTGCATGCAAGAATTCATCTTGCTCCCTTGTAAAAAGAGATATGAAACTCACGTTAATCCAAGGGTGATTCATAAATTGAGAAACTGTCATCCTCTCTGTTGGGTCAGTCTTCAGTAAATGGCGAATCAGTTGTTTGGCTGAAAAACAGCACCAACATGGCATGTTGTAGTCTACTACTACATTCCCAAATAACCTTGAGAACACAAAGACCTGCTGAATGAAGGAAGATAATTTTGCAGAACTCGAAACACCTACCTATTGCTGTTACCATGTTTAGAAGTCATTTACAGTGCGGTAGGTTATTATGTTTGAAGAGGCATAACATGAAAACATCCAAAACAAGAGGTAAGAAGGAAAGACAAAGGATTGAGGATTCCATCTATCCTATCTACATCACCACACCAACTGTTTTGAGAGCAAGAACTTGAGAAAAAGAGAAACATAGGAACAGAAAGCTGCCAAGCTGCCTGTCTGAGAAGCCTGGCATTATGGGCTGAACGAATGCATAAGCTGTTCTGAGAAATCATAGAAGACAAAAACTAGCACAGGCTGTGGGGACAAAAAAAAAAGACAATAAACTTCTCTTTGACAACTGAGAGGCCACTAAAAGGACAACAAAGTCAAAAAAATGGATTGCACAAACAGGCTTTGTAGCAGCTTTCTGTGAACATGGTATCTGCCAAAGGAAGAGTACTAAGTAACTGAGGTATGAGATGATGGGAGTCTGGACAAGAGTTTCATTCACGAAACACTACATTCAAGGGATGTTATTTAGAAAGACTTAAACATAACTTTCTTGGGGGAACCTAGAAAAACTTCTGAATAAGAGTTCTCTTTTAGAAACATTGAATGCAAGATGACTAAATGCTTGTAAGAAGCTGCCAGAAGAACAAGTTGAGAGTTCAGTTTGTCGAGAGAGGCTGCAAAGGTTTACAGAAGAGATTACCTGGAGTCTAAAATGTGCAAGGAAACAAAAGGAGGGAACCACAAACAGAGCCCATTAAGATTATTACAGGAAGCTGGTGGGGAATTTAGAGGAAGCCTCCATAGATGATGCAATGAAGGAATGATTAGATAATGAAAACCATGACAAGAACAGCATACAGGAGGGCAAAAAGCAGCAGTCTGCTGAAGGTGCCTGATCAGCCTAAAAGAATGCACATAAACTAGCTGATCTTAATAGGTTCAAAGATAGAGGGCACCTATTTTCATTCGGGGAAGCATGCAGAAACCCTACAGATTTTCCAAGCAAATGTTCTCTCACCAAGCTCCCCTAGCATTTTAATAACTGTTGTAATATGAACAAGACCCAAGGCAGACAAAATACTAAGCCAGCAACCCACAGGTAAAACATCTTCCTTATTAATGTTCAGTAGTCCATGCTGCACACCGTGCTGCAACCATGAGATCCAATGAGGGGTTAAAGTGCCACAGTATTATCCAATGATAATTTGTTATTGCTAAACAGCAGACAATAATAGGATGCTAGCAACAGCAATATAAAGGGCTTGTTCGAAAAAAAGATGCACCCAGAGGTTGCTGACCTTTCTCTTTAATATGATGGGCAGGTGAGACTTCCAGCTTATGAGACTATCAGAATAAGAGGGAATCAAAAACATCCACTTTCAGGACACTCGTTTGAGCCCATCCAGGTCACAGCTGAACAGCAGCAGCTTTTGGTCAATGACTTATACAAAAATAAATTGTTGACCTTGATTTAAGCGGTGGCTGGTAAGTTCCCACATCACAAAAAGCTAGCATGAAAACCTGCCATCCTTGCTGGCTCTATCACCAGGGAGGGCAAAGACTGAATGAGTTCTAAGACAGTTTGCCTTTCTTCCAACTCAGCTTCCATTGCAGCTGTCCTGGCAGTCTCCTTTCTCAGGATTAAAGACTTTTGTTTTCAGAGGATTTAATCTCAGCATTCATTAGCCCTAGCTGGAATTTGAAAGAAAGTTTTCAGTAATCATTTACTTTCTGTAGTACTTAGGTTGCTGGCTAGTGTCTGAGTTCCCAGTCGTTCTCTATATCACCTTACAAAAAATTAATTTAAATTCTACAAAAAAAGGGAAAAAAACCCTAAGACAGGTTTTTGGAAATAGCCTCTTGTAAGCATTCTACCACTGTACACCATGCACATATTCATCAGTAACAGTGAGCATTGTTACCTTCCTCTGATACTTCAGCCCACTCTGGATTGGGAAACCCATATTGCCCCATGCGAATTCTTCTCTTCATCCCTGGAGAAATGGCTTGACCGGTGTTTGAGTAGAATGGAGGGAACCCACAGAGGCTGTAAGAGTGGACAAAAGAACTCTTACAACTAGAAAAGCCCTTTCATCTCAAGCTTATATTCTTTCGCAGGTTCCATGATCCCAGTGAGTAATTACTTCTAAGTGTAGATTTAATAAGATATATCCTTTTTCCGTTCATCAAGCCTCTTTCCAAATACTTACAGAATATATGTGATGACACCCAAAGACCACATGTCACATGATTTGTCATACTTCTCAGGACCAAGGACTTCTGGGGCTGAAGAAGATTAAAACCAGAAATTAACAGAATACCAGGTATTTCCTTTCATCTCCATCACCTTATAAGTAGCAGCTCATTTCAACAACAAATATCAGAGGCATTAAAAAAAAATGCAACTCGCTGCAGGAATTGGGTAGTATTTTCTATTGACAAGTTCCTAAACACATCTAATGTAGCTTTAAAAAAGAGGAATGGAGCTGGCAAAATGCCCTACTCTTCACCTTAGTGTCTCTCTGCTCAAGAGAGTACTAAGATTACAGAAAAGCAGAAGGAGCTATAGCTAAATGTGTAGAGGGAGACACTGCACTGAAAGAGACAAGGAGCATCTGTTCCAGAAATTAGAACAGAAAGGACCTACTTGAGCTGTGGTAAAATTTTGATCAGTACCTGGGTAGAGTGTGTTTAGCTCCAGCAACTACAGAGAATGTATTTTCCTTTGGCCTCCAGAGCATTAACTTTTTTCACTAAGTAACAAAATTATAGAGAGATACATTTAGAGGGGAATTTTTGTTTTTCCCTGGGACAGGTGAACTGGCAGGGAGCTTGATTTTGTAAGGAAAATGATTCTCTAAACATATAAGCAATCATGCTGGTTTATAAAAAGGTGTTAAGAAGGGAAATGTCAGCCTGTTTATATACAAATATAAAGGCATAAAAACATGTACATGTAAATTCCTTAACATTTTAACACTAATCCCTGCTTACAAAAATATAGAAGAAAGCATCAGAAAAAAATATTGCTATCGTAATTCTCTGCTAACAATGAATAACAGTATCTTTCAATACAAAAACCTATAAAAACTTACATCATAGAAAAGAACTAGTTTTTCCAAAAAATTAAGCCCTTTTTCCTCCAAAGAAATTCCAAGCGCAGACTGCCTCAGTCACACCATATGGTGAATGACTATTAACTCAAAGACCAAAAGGGACGTACTCTAAAATCAGTGCATGAAGGGGAGTCTACTGTGGCATTCATTACACAGTGCTCTGTCTTTGGACAAAATGCAGGCAAAAATTCAGCTGTGATTAAGTCACATTGGTATTTTATTACTAATTCCTCCATTTGCCAGCTTTAAGAAGCTTTACAGCTGAGGCAATACTCTTCCTGTTCCCTTTTATTTCATTAGTTAAGCTAAGGGAAGTTTTGCAAGGAAACACCCAAATAATCATGAAGCTGAGTTCAGATTATGGCTTTTATTGCATCATTCAGAGGAAACATCAGGATTACTTCAAGTGTAATCAGAAGCAACATGTTCTCTCTCCCTAATGCACATTTGCATTCCCTGTCAAGGCTGTTTCCTCTGCAACCCAGGAAGAAAGCAGGAGCACTGAACTGTACTGGAACCAGACTAGGTTTGGGTTGGATGCCAGTTTAAATTCTGCAGGCTACCTCTTTGCATTACATCCACAACAGAAGATTTCCCATCCACTCCTACAGTCCACAGGCCCACTATAAGGGGAGGGATGACAGACTGAAACACAAAAGAAATGCATCTTGGATAACTTACCCACATAATAAGGAGTGTAACAGGGGGTCTGCAGTGCATTTTGTACAGTGGTTTCTTTGGCAAAGCCGAAGTCTGTGAGTTTGAGTACGGTATCCTTCTCTTTAGACGTGTAAAGCAAATTTTCAGGCTGAAAGGCCACCAAGAGAAAGGATAAACTGGACAATGAAGAGATGTCTCTAATGATCTTGCCTGGATCACCACCAGCATCTGGGTCTTCTTACTTCTTTCACATCCCCACCACACCATGCAGAAAGTTCCCTCCCAACATGTAGCATTTTTGCTCAGACTAGGGATGAACATCCTTCTCAACACGGTATTTAGGTAAGCAAATCACAAGACTCTCATCGGGTCCAACGGACATCAAGTCTGGCTTCTTGAACCTCTCTCTAGTTCACTGCACTTACTAGCATTGTTCTGTCTGATCAACACCAGTTGATCTGACAGCACTCTTTACTGCACTCAAGTAGCTGAGGTGGAAGACAAGAGAAGTCTTCAGCCAAACTCTCCATGAGCAACTGACATAACTCCATCAGAATTAACCGATACAGACACAGTCCCCTTCCTGCTCCTCCCCTCCTCTGTCTCCTGAAATCTGAGTTAATTCCACTTTTGCTCCATGCTCCACAAAGGCTCTCCAAAACCAGAAGTGGCACAGAGAGAAGTACAAGCTCTTGTGCACAATAACAGGGGCAACAGCAAATCTCCAGAATCTGCAATTGTTTGAACTTATTTTCCAGTTTCTCAGTCATGAGGAAGCTATGCCCTCCCTCATACCAGTGTTTAGGGACATACAGAAGAAGGAAGGGCTTGAAAGAAAACAGGATTTAGGATCTACTAAGCATATTGAACCATTTCTATGCTAGTTCACTGAGTGTGTGTAGAGGGTGTTTGTGGCTAAGCACTTCAGTTTCTGTGCTGGTGATAGGCAATGGCACATAGCTCCACAAAAGTGAACAGACTTTTAGTCTCTGAACTGTTAAGTCATTCTCCAGTTCCTACCTAAAGAACCCTCAAACATACCCCTCAGTGACACCAAGCAATGGCAGTTCTCCCTCCAGCTAAACACAGAATCATCTGTAGAAAATTCACAAACTCAAAACTGTGGAATCAATCAGATGCCTCAGTCCCTCATTATGTGTCCTGCTCTCCAGCACATTCCACCACGCTGCCATATCGCTGCGCTAGAAATGCCTTGGTGCAGCTATCTTGTCTGTGCTTATGCTGTGCACTTTACAGAATGAAAACAAAATACAATACTACAAACCCTGTCAAATCTCTACAACAAGATCTGGGTACAAACTTTAGCTAATAAAACACACTGTTCCACATGGTAGTAACGGAGATCTTCCCATTTTCCCAAATATTTACACATACTATTAAAGTGGGTTGGATGCATGGAATTGGTATTATTCCTCCCATATATGCAGTTTCTCCTGTTTCTGAAGGGGGTTTTGGTGTTTGTTGGGGTTTTTTTGTTTGTTTATTTTGGGGGTTTTTTGGGTTTTTTTTTAGGCAAGTATGATTGTGAAAACAACTAGTAACTGGCAAAGACTGTACATAGAGGTACATCATCTAGTATAAGTTCACTTCAGGCAGTGTTATTTTCTTGTTAATTAACTGGATTGCAAGTTGGTAGTACCTTTTTAATTAACCATCTGACTATCACCAGATTCTTCCGCATTCCATACACAACTGGAACGCATTAGCACACATGAATATTCTGACTTTTGACTAGTTGCAAACTAGTTGTGAACAGATCCCTTCTCACACTGGCAGAGGAATAGGAACACTTTGACCATCTGATTGTACTCCTAGTTCTATTTAAACCACCACCGCCCATTTATTTTTCTGCCTTATGCTCTTTTCTCCCTGCCCACACACCTTCAGGCCTCACCTTGACGTCTCTATGGGCAATGTTCATTGAATGCAGATACTGGATGGCTGTTCCGATGTCTCTCATTATCTCAGAGGCCTCTATAAATACAATTTTAGAGAAAGGTCACATTAACATTCCCACTGTAACTCAGGGACATGCTTGGGAATGCTTATGACTTACAGCTTATGACTTACAGCTTGCTGGAATACAGGGCTAGCGTCAAGACCAGAAAACCTAAAATTAGCCCTAACAGCTGTGTTTTGGTTTTGCAGGCAACCATACCCCCCAATTCCTTGGCTGCTCAGCCCTCCTCCTGAGCAGGCACCGCAACTGAACGGTTGAGACTCCTGCTTTTTATGAGCTTGTAAATTTGTGCTTTAATTTGCTCAGCAGAAAAGCAGCAAGAGCAGAGCAGGTATGCAAGCAACATGCAAGTCTGTGGAGAAAGGGGCCCCAACCAGGAAATATCCCTGATTGTCCAGGACGTGTCCTTGGTTGTCCGAGACAGAAGTTTAACTTCCAGCTCCTAGTTACCTTCTAGGGGCAACAGGAGGATCTAACAGGTTTTCTAAAAATAGAGCAACAAAACAATATAGTAATTTTAGGATAGGTCACATCTTCATTCCTCACCGTCTTTAGAAGTTTTTCCTCAGGAGAAACAAAATCAACAGTTCTATTCTGCAAAGCCCAAACTGCCACCTTTGAAATACTATGTTTCTAAAATTTAACATAACCCCCTGTGAAATTCTAGTGGTTGGTGAGCTGCCTTGCAACAGCAGTACTCTTGAAGTCTGGAAGAGTTCAGTTACACCAGGAGAGGTAACAGAGCAGGGAGGAGTGACATTCCCATTGCACCAAGTGAGCATTATATTACATCTCCATTGACAGGGAAACAGAATTAGCAACTTCAACCCGATCCTCTGTTTTCTGCATAGGTAGAAACCTCAGCTGCAGTAGTGAGAGAGAAGGTAGAAATTCTTGTACTGTAACCTGGAATCCTTTTTCTCATGGCTTGAGATTGAAATTACACAATCTCAGGCAAAGACAATCAGAAGGCAGAAACACTCATCTTCAGGGAAAACCTTGCACAACCTCTCCTTCCCGGCCTAGGCCAGAAACTCTGGCTCCTAATGGGAAGCTGTGGCTGATACAAAAACAGACAGTGTACCTGGGGAATCCAGTGGAACAGGGCTAATTTATCTCAGGAAAGAATGAAGGTGGCTTTTTTGTTTAACACTCCCAGATGATTTCTGAGTAAGTATTTAGAATGTTATGCAATAGCATTTAGTGTAGAAAAATCATGGTTTTAGCAGAGTGGAGCCACTAATGATCACAGAACCTGGAATCTTGTATTTTAGAGAGGAACACATAAAGTTCCTGAAAATGAGCCTCATACCACTTAAAGGATTCATCCCAGGCTAGGAAACACAGAATCAAAAAAAGCCTGGCCTCTATACCAGACTTGCAAAACAGTCACAGTCATTTACAAGCTCAGGTGTAAATTTTCCTTCTTCTAATCCTTTTGTCTTGATGCTAGTTATAAACACTAACATTTTTACTCCTGAGCAGAAAGAGGCTCCGGTCTGTTGTGAATGGGCAAGGAGAACCAGAATCAAGCACACCTGTGGTACTCTGCAAATAATAAATAGCAAAGACAATAAAAATGGCAAGACTATTCTATTGCAAGTTCTGTCACTGACTCATAGCAGGTCTTTAAACTTGCACATAGTCCCTATTATAGATGAGCAGGCTTGTTTACAGTGTGGCTAATAACACTTCCTTTCAAAGTAGTACTTTAAAACCCTTGAATAAGAGATGTTTCATCAAATGTGATTTGCTCGTTGTATTCATCACCTAACAGTATAGCTGTGCACAGTGATGCTGCTTGAGGGACAGCCAGAAGAGAAATCACAGTAGGAGCTGTGTTGATCATGTTAGAGGTGGTCTGGCAGGAGACCACGGACTAGAGTAACAGAGGCTGCGGTGGTTCAGAAATGAAGAAGCTGAGCAGATTTGTATGAAGAATTTTCCTCTAAACTTTCCACATTGTGCCTGAACTTGGCCAATTCTGGTAATTCCTGATTTTCAGGAACTTTTAAAAAGAACTGTTTAATACACAGTTGGATAGAAAAAAAAAAAATTAAAAATTACAAACAAAAATCAAATCACAGAAAAATTCCTAGTAAGGGAACTAAGAAAGGGGACAGAGAAAGGGAGAAGGAATCTTTCACAAACTTTAAAATTAAACTTGTGATTTTTCACCTCTCTCAGTGAAAGCTTGATCTCCTCTCTCCTGGATCCTGCTCAACAGCTCTCCTCCCTCCATGCTGAAACAAAGAACACAAAAAAACTCACGTTACTTGAGCAGAAAAGATCAAATTAACACCTGACTGTGCATCCATATAATCGCACAGAACCATAGCAGGAACAGATTAGAAGATATTACAGGCCTCCTATGCCAATGCTTCCTAAACATCCCACTCATTTGAATCAATGCACAAAGCCATTCTGATATGGAATAAACAGAAAACAAAACCAAGGAGTTTTGATGCTTTCAGTTTAATGTACCCTGTCACAAGGAACATGACACACACAGTTGGGAAGTCAGATACGCTGGCACTGGGAGGCTGACAGTAATCTTGTTTTATGTAAGGGTTGGAGATCAAGAAAAAAGAAAGGAAGCAAAGATACTGAAAAGGATTTGTCCCCAGTGAAGACGACAATAACTGTGGTCTTACAGATCAAGGAGAGAATAGGAAAAGTTAGAGTCAAAATAGTAGCAAAAAGTATCATGACAGATCATAGGATTTACACCTGAAGTTGGAAGCCAATCACAATCAAAGTGCATCATATTTGTAGAGACATATCTTTCGAGACTGTATTAATTAGTCAACCCTTTAATGAGGACAATTGTCACGAAGTACAAGAAAAATTTATTTTCTGGTTAAGGTTCCTCATTCTTCCATCATACAAGATGGCTGGAGCAGCTATACATTTCCCTACCAGTTCCATAAAGCCAACAAAAGGTTTGCTGTGCAAACTAAAATCCTGCTGCTGAGAAAGCTCAGCTAACTCATCTAAGCCAACACATCCTCCCACTCCCTTCACCCCCTCAAAGAGCAGTGCTTGGTGGGGGGCTGCTGCTGGTCCATACCATTCCATGACAATGAGGAGGCATCTCTTTCCATGATGTATATTCTCATAAACATCCAGGACATGGACAATGTAGGGACACCCTGATGCTCGCCAATGATATTCTACTTCCTGACGGGCTTTTGGGTTGTCATACAGGAGCTGTAAAGAAATAGGAGAGAGCAATATCAGTGAGCCAGCATCATTCTGCTTTAAATTGGCACCTACATGCATTTGAACTCAAAGATGGTGGCAAAGGCTACTCTTAGCACTCTCTCCAGCCAAAGGATGCCAATCCATCACAAGACTTTCAGCATCTCTGGGCTGTCCAACTTCCTAAACTGAGGAATACAGAAACAACTGGTCCCTTGGAACTGGAAGGACCACTGGAAGTGGCAGGGAGGCGAGTTTTTGAATGTGAGATGGAGACAAACCTATCTTATGCACCTCTGGATGGGAAACAGCATATTTTTTCCTACTTGTTTGCAGTACTTGCAAACAGAGAAGAATCCCTCTGCTAAGGACAATAACCCTCCCACCTGCTCCCCAGCTGCTGGGAGAAGAGACTTTTAGGAGCAATGCAAATCCTTAAAGTTCAGCGAGATGTAAAACAATAAGGACTTTCTCACTGACTCTGAATGTGCTTCTTAAATACTACACAAATTTCAGACCCCATCAGGGTCAGAAAGGGACTTTTGACTATCTAGATGCTTGAACTTCTTTCTCTGTCACATGCAAGGCCAGTTTATTTTAAAGGCACTAATCTCTAGAAGGAAGGTAAGAGCTCATCTTTCCTGATCCTGCAACCTCGTACACAAGAAATGTGTCCCTTCCCATTTCAAGAACTGCTCTGTATCAGACTCTGCAACTGAGCTTTTGAGCAACAGGGACACGTTGCTGAATCATGCTTTTTCTTCTCTGCCTCGTCTCTCTAGACACCACTAACACTTTGTGACAGAGACTCTCTCTTTACTGCACATTTATATGGTTCCTACACAATATGGCTGTGATCTGAGTTTGATACTTTATACCCTGTAGTAATAATCATTGTAATGATGGAGCAGCAACAAAACTGATGCTATATAAAGCACTGTCAAATGCATTGAAACAGAATAAAAAACAAGCAAAGAGCAATCACCTCTGATCTATTTGCCTTAGAAAAGGACTACAACAACTGTGGGGGAACTGTTTTTAAACAGGCAAACAAAAACTATCATTGCTGCACTATTAGGCCTTAGCCTGAAGCTCTTCTCACTGATGTTTGCTATCAGGTCCCAGTCAAAACACAACTGCATGATAATTGCTGAAAACAAGTATTAACATGTAACCTGTCATTAGGGACCTATGAATCAGCCCAGGAAAATGAGATTGCTTTTCCATCCAATTGCCAAGCTAAGGCACAAATGGTGTCACAGGCACCTCTCAATGTAAGGAAACGTGATTTAAAGGTCACAGGAAGGAAGTCGCAAATTCTGGTTTCTTTATTGACTCCAATACAATCTGCATCACTGGCAAAAAAATCTTACACTTCTTTGCTGCTTCAACATCCCTTTCAGCAAAGCAGACACAGTAACATGGCAGGAAAGGCCTGTAACACTTTATGAAATGCTGGGGAAGCGCTCGGGAACGACTGGACGGAAGATAAGAGGCTTCTCTTCTTTTCCAGGCCGGGAACAGGAAAAGGGTGACAAGTACTCCTCTGCCAAGTGCACATTTCTGTATTTTTGTGAAGCACAGAGAGGTTGCAGGAGGGGACGAGAGGCCTCAGGAGGGCTGCTGGCTCCTTAGCTGAACGGGCAGCGAGCCTCACCACCGTGATTACCCTCCAGGCTCCCTCAGCTCTGCTCCAAAGGCTTCAGCATGACACCAGCTTTTCAGCGGTGCAAGGAGCTGAAGAAGCTTTCTTGCCGAGTTCAATGCCCTCACAGCCAACCTACTTCTTCCACAGCTGTCATTCTGCACCCAGAGCACACCCTTTTGAGATCACTAACTATCCGCCTCTTCCTTCCTGCTCCAGCCTGGCTATGGCCTAATTTCCAACACAAATAACTTCCTAAAGAAAGAGATGGCTCCAATTTGGACAAAAAGCCCATTAGCGAGTCCAAGTGCAGTTGCTTTACTTCTTTCAGCCGTCAGCCCATTCAGTGGCTTTTCCTTCACAGCCACTGTGTTGTAGCTCAGTAGGACTGTCTATCAGCATTTTCCCCTCTGCCCTTCTGAGTTTGGGCTGTTGCCTAGAGGTCTCTTTAAAAGTTCATTAAACTACGTGTGCAACAATAAAGCCCAAACACCCTCAGACTAACCAGGCCATTTAGAAAAGCATTACAGGGTTTACTGCCTGGATATTACTGGATTAATGCCACTTCTGAGCAGGACGCTTCAAAAACCTTCTCACCTATCCTGTATTACTAATTAGACATAAACATTCTCTTTACTAATGTTAACTGCACTATAATCTGTGTATCTTGTGCTTGCACACTGTGCAGAGATGTTGTTTTTCATGTTTGTACCAAATGCTTATGAAAATTGTTTCACGGAATTGAATTCTCACTCTCTAAAGAGTTTTTACAAGGCATTTTGATACACACAAGGATGCTGTAGTTTCTCTTCTCCACCCCTACAAGCAAGTTTCATATACTCCTTAGTGCCAAGCTTGAATGTACTCATGTCAAGATGACACCTGGAGAAGCAGAGAAAAGGAAATGCAAAAATAAAGAGCAGATACACATACCAAGCAACATCTGATGTATCAACCAACTGTTAACCTTTGGATTTCTCCTTCTGAGCCTTAAAAATAAATTAAATCTTTTCCTTATGTCTAAAACTGGAAGCCATAACTATATCTTTTAAGACATCTTAGAGATGCAGACATGTATAAAATGAAAGCCAGGCAGGGTTGAAAGCACTAATTCCTACAAAATTTAGGTGATGATTTAGAAACACAGACTGAAATTCTAGCTGTATGGTTAAATTTAACAAACGTGCAAAAAACATAAATGGACATTCTGCCATCTTCCCAAGCCTGAAGAGAGACTGTGCTTCTGTTGCTGCAACAGTTTTGATAAGACTATGACCAGGTTCCCCTGACATTCTACAAAAGTGCAGAGTTAGTTGTGAATAAACCCAGAGTTTCAGGTAAGTTTTCCAGCACTGCTGGTTCATGCTGGTTTGAGGAAAGAGCAGCATTGTCAAACAGTGACAGCTCAAGGAGCCCCCAGTCATCCCGTAGAGTTCCCACACAGTTCAGCTGAGTCACAGCTTGTCACGATGGGCTGTGGGCAGGATCATGAACCAACCTAACTTCAGAACAGACAAATCCAAGAAACATGCCCCATCTCCCAATTTTCATGAAGCCAGGCCAGTGATTCTATGTCCAATGCACAGCAGCCTTTGCATAACAGGGAGGGGATGCCCATGTGTGGGTCAGGCAACGCAGTCTGGAACAGGAGCTGCACAGTAGAAAATTGTATTTTTGCTGGAGCTCAGCATTACCAAACCACAGCCTAAAAAAAGTAAATGAAGCAAGTATTAACAGTTACTCACAGGGAGATCACCAAAAACAGAGGTAATGGAAGGCAAGAAAGTACAAGAGCTCTAGAGCCCTAACCCCTAGTAATTCACACAACTCTTCTCGATATCTGAAGAAGCTGGAGAAGGAAGGGAGCTGTGCCACGGGGTGTGCTCTGCCTGTTTTGGAGGAACAACAGGGCAGATGCCAGCAGACACTCCAGGATGCCCTGCTAATTCAGGGCCTGGCAGTGGAGGGAGGCCTGAACTCTCAATTCTGGGGTAATGGCCCAGCTCAGGTTAGCAAGTGCCTGCAAAACAAAACAAATTCTAAACTGCAGCTTGGAAGGCCAGCTCTGTGAAATTTCTCCCTGTGCAGAATTTCTCAATAGAAACTAAAAAGTGACACAGTATCTTCTAATTGCTTTTCCATCGATTCAGTGTTGTGTAAGCAAGGAAGGATAGCAGGAACCCTCATACCTTAATGGTCTGATCTATACAGGAAATAGCCTTCTAAGGACTCCAGGGAGCAGCAAGTGATTTTCTGGACTCTGAAATTGTAACAACAGAGAGAGAAGATATCCATGGGCACAGGTATGAAACAGGCTGAGGACAGGAAGCAATGACTTCTTTGTGACTTTCTCTTTAATATGCACTAGCAGATTACACAGATCACTATTACGCCTGCTATCATACATAGGTGATTAAGACCCCCACATATGCTTTTTTATTTGTTTTAAACTTCAGCAATTCCTCCTAATTCCAAACAGTTGCGGTGCTTGGATTAGACCTATTACAGCTCAGTTCTTATCTACTGCACATGCCACGTTAAAGCAGCATCTGACACTGCAAGCATCTTTTATTTACTTGCACCAACTCTAGAATCTGAACTCTCCTTCAATAGACAATCAGCTTTATAATCTCTACGCTATTTTCCTCACAGGAAGGCTTCCCATTATTAAACCAGAAATGGGACGAGCAGAAACTTTCAGTCCTAGGAGTCCTCAACATGTAATACTGATATACAGGCACTTAAATATAGCTTTACTTATTTTTCTAGCTGGGAAAAAAAAGTCCCTGCTCAGGCGTAAGTGGGTAAATGTCTAACTTCTTTGGCTTTCTTTCCTCTTTGCATTTAGCTGTTACAAAAATGCTGAATCCTACAAATAAGCCTTGGAATCTAAAATCACGCTGATGCACAGAAACTAACACCATTTGCTGCAGAGCAGCTCTTCCAGTCGTTCTTTATTCAAGAGGGGTTGATGGCAAAAGGAGGCTTGGATAATGTTTCTTTCATGTCCTCCCTCCCCTATGCTACAAAAAGAAGCGGGGGAAAAAAGAAAAAAGAAAAAGAGCTACCACTATGGCTTTGGACATTTTGTCTTTTACTACATCCTGATTATTTGCACTACATCTATTAAATTCAGTGTTAACAATCTTTATCTGTTTCTAGATCTCTTCATAAGGGATAAAGCCATCCTTTGTGTTAGAACGTTAAAGGAATTGAAATTATCAAGGTTTCTTCTTCACACATTAGCACTGCCAGTCAGTCAAGCTGCAGCAAGAAGCATGTGTCTTTTTGCAATGGCAGCCCAGCAAGCAGGGAAATCCACACATGCAAATCTCAAAGAAAGCACTGAATTTTTTCTTAAAAT